ACACTAACTTTTGGTGATGTTATGTTTCTATCGGTGACTGAGGCTGCAGTTAGACGACGCGAAATTTTTATGAAAATCATAATGATGACCAGGTACAGGCCTAATTACCGATAGTAAAATATAGAAACAGGTAGGAAAATGGATAAACTTTGGACATTTCATTTGAAAAGAAATCTATTATTACTACAGGTAGGTATAGGTATCATAGGTGCCAACTGCCAACACTCATAAATCAATATGAATATTAGCATTTATTATTTTTAATATTCTTGCATTTTATGTTCATTTAATGCATATTATTTAAGTGCTTACATAGAGGTAAACACTAAATCTATTCAGAATATATAAAGTGTACATCTTTTACGATTAAGTATAATAATTATAACCTCAAAATCTAATACATTCTGTAGTAGGCCACGGTTCCTCAAGTTGTCCGCATCTCAACAAATGCCTAATTAGAGTTTATGAATGATTCCGAACACAACTAGCATTTTCTCATTGCTGGGCGTTCTAGGGCATTCAATGTATGGGGAACGAGCAATGTCCTTTATGTTTTATTAACTAAGACTTTAACGTCGAAATTCTTTGTGAGTAACTAACTTTGACGACCTCCGTGGCCGAGTGGTTTGTACGTCGGGTTTCATGGCTGTCGCCGACTCGAGAGGTCCCGGGTTCGAATCCCGGTGGGGGCAGATGTCTGTGTGATGAATACGAGCACTTGTACTCCAGTCATGGATGTTTAATATGTATTTATATAAATATACATAAATATGTACAGTATATGTATTCTATCCGTTACCCTAGCATCCCATAACACAAGCGTTATAGTGCTTACTTTGGGCACGGTAATAATATCATACAGTATTCTATCTTCATACAAACGGTCGGAAAGCGAGTCATACCTACGCCACTCGAGTTCGATGTGCTCTCGGCGGGCACCCAGTCGCGAATGCGCCGCGCCGTCGCGCCGCAACGACGACCGAACGGCAGTTAGCAGTGCTTAAACGTGCGTTTTGTATTGTAAATATTTGATTTAATTAAGTAGATACCTACATAATTTAGTATGGAAAAGAACAAATGACGATCAATATCGTACGTACAACAGCACAATTGCTGTTTTTGGTTGCTTGAACTCTTCAATAACACACCCAGAGATATCATTTTTTAAATTACCTGAAATATTGGAAAGGTGTCTTACCTTTATAGAATATTTTTTATATACCTATGTACTAGTACGTTATTTTTTTCTAATATTTAGGTATTTCGGTTTTTCCATCGGGCAAAATATCTGGAATAATATATAAATAAGTTAGGATGAAAAAAGAGACAAACGAGTAATCTACCTACACTCGCGTTAAAAACAAAACTACATAAAATACTATAGGCTGGCGGCCCTACCGCGTGCCAACGCAGCGCTCGGTGTAGGCATTTATTTTCATGGACAGGGCGGAGTCACAATACTGTATAGATAATATTACCGTGCTTTGGGGCTAGGCTAATTGGTGTGTCGTAAAAAAAAAAAAACTACGCGGCGATCGCGCGGCGTCCGCTCCTCGATCACACGGCCGCCGGCCGCCGCGCTCGAATCACTCAAATGTTTTAACATCCATTCGGAAATAATCTGCAATCAAGATCAACTGCAAATGAATCGAGTTAGCAGTGGCGGGGTCACCAGGCGCTGTCGCTGTCCTGGAGCTCTATTTTTAAATCACTCGTCTGACATAGTATCGTCGAATGCGACATAAGTCACCTTCGACTTTCAAGTAGAATAATACTGATGTTCCGTATTTTTGAATCACTCGTCACCAGTGTTACATGTTTGATACGAAATACGAAATTTTACTCATTTCACGCAGAAATAATAAAAACCGGTAATTACTACTACTCTTTGTCGTTTCATATAAAGCATGACAATGATAGATTATCGTCGTCTAATAGCACAAAAAAATTGACAATTATTCTATCATTCGCCTGCACCATTCGCCATGCAGCGAGTGGTCTCACCCATTCGTTGCACTCGAGCACTTTTTATATCTGACATGTAGAAATCTTGTAATATTAATATGTTGACATTGGTGTCGATTCTAGCATGTTTCTCTAAACCTAAACTTAAATTTGACAGCAGTATATCCTTGTCATTCTCTATACAGAATGAAAAGGAGAGACTGATGTTAAATTTAGTTTTAAGTTTAGAGAATCACGCCAGAATTGGCACCATTGTATATTTTATTGACATAATATTAGGTAACTCTGACATTCATAATTCTACTGAAAAATGTTATAATTAATTAATCTCTTTTTTTTTTATTGGTTCCATATTATGTATTTGCATGCTATTTTTAAAATGGCAAAACACGTGCTCAAACCGTTGTGTAATTATATATACCGTGTTTTTAGCAAATAAAGATTATGATTTATGAATTATGAGCGATTCAAAAATACGGAATAATTATGTCGAATGAAATTTAGTAGAAATCGAGCGTTCGCCACAAGACGAGTGATTCAAAAATAGATCTCCTGATACCGCGCGGCCGCCACGCTGTGACATTCTGTATCATATAAACGCGCCCTAAGGTTCCAGGGCTCCACGGGGTAGGGCAATGGGTAGGCAACGGTGCAATATGGGATCAGCGGCACAGTGGTTAGCGCGATCTTTCTGAGAATGTGGAAGTTATGCAATCGGCAATAACAGCCCAGTCGTTATCCCGGGTGCTAAATCCATGGTCCTAGCTGCATTTGCAGTCGTTAGTGTAATAATTTATAAATAAAACAATAATGTTCTGTTACTTAGTTTACTCAATAACACTTTAGCTTTTAGATTAAATATGATTACAAAATCAGTCACATTCACAATTCCTCACATTTCTATAATGGCGGTGCCATCTTGTTTTTTCTTATGAATCAACCAAGGAAACATGCTCAAACAGCCATTTATAATTTATATCAATTATACTACAGTTAGCAGGTTACGTAGTACTTACTATAATTAAATACTAAGTCTAGTTGAGGGTTAACTCGCCAATCCGACCTGGGTCTGCGTGGTGGTGGTACATAGCCCCCTCTCCCTATTTTATCCATAGGAAAGGCTTGAAGTTGAGTCATTATTCGTCTGATGATTATGGTTTCTTTTTGTAAAATATTAGTTTGTTAATCTTTACAGTTAACTTGTAATGTGAGCATAATGAGAGTAAGAGCATAGATGAAGTAATAATTATCGTTGCTGATAACGTCACCAGTATGCACTGAATGCACATCACAAGATGATCAAACACTAGACCACATCTTCTTTCTTGTCCAGCTTTCAACATTCAGCGACTAATTCTAATAGATCGACTTTTGACCAAATCACAGATCATCCCGCCTTCGCTACATGACATCCTAGCAAGCACAGAAAACTATTTACCTATTTACGAATTTATAAACTCGACACTAGGAGAAATATAATAAAACAACTTCGGACTTTACTACAATATTTTATGATGATTATGACCACTCCCGGGCAGAACAAAATATTTTATAATTTACTGAAGATTTGGCTTATTGCCTCTAAACAACAACAAAATAACAGATTTGGCCTTGCCTATATAATAATCTATGACAACTAGAATTATGGACGTAAGACTTGGCAGTATGGCTTAGTACCTTCGCCTGTCCCAATGAACTAAATTATACTACAACTACTACATTATCGTTGCCATGGTAACGCACAGATGTATCAACAAACATCATTGATGTGTTTTGTCTATCTTTTATTACATTAAACGAGTTTTAAGTGACTGTGTATAATTTATTATTGGTTGTATATCTTCTCCTTGCATACATACTTTATATATAAGATGTCGTATAGGGATTTACGAAGTAAGTATCTATTTAAACTTTCACCAAGATATTTTTCGTGTAGGTATAGCTGCCACAGTAATACAAGATACAATGAAATTTAAATTAGCTAACAATCCAACCAAGACTTTAAACTTAATCCAACTAAATAAACTAGTTTTCTCTCGCGATTTCATTCGCGTTTTATTATGATAGCTTAAAAAGCTCAGTGATCTGTGATAATTATTATATACATGTATGTTGCTCATAGGCAGCACAACATTTTCAAGCACCATATACATATTTGACATGCATACTTATTTACGTAGAACGTGTTCACAGTACGTATCCTAGTTAGGTTTATAGTGCTTGCTATATGCTATAAAGAGCGAAGATGCCGTGTTGGGTGGTGCTCTATCGCCTCAAGCCTCATACCTCAGATGTTGATAAACGCCGCTAACGGAATTCTTGTACTTTCTAGGCCCAAGCATTAACACTTCACTATTTTTTGGTGAAAAGGTCTCTCAATCCACACCAATCAATGAAGTATGCACACCAGCGCACTGATAATTTAGATTTTGAGAAAAAAAACATTTTCAACAAAATTGTGAAGTTTCTACTCTTGGGTCCAGGAAGTAGAATATCCCGGATCACTAGTACCACTAATGGAAAAATAATAAATAACAGTATAATGCGATTCAAATAAGAATAGGAAAGCCAATGACCTCCATCTGTCAAATGATGCTTGAAAAGTACGGTTTGCAAAAAATCTTGGAACTCTTTTTTAGCATTCAGCTAATTCTAGAATAAAAAAAACAAACATGACGACCGACGATGACAACTCTGGTAGTTATGCAGAGTTGAGCGGAATTGAAGATCTAGATTCCGATTAATATTTTTACTCACAGAGTCATAAATGTTATTAAAAATCGGTGTTTTTTTTCTCAATCTTAGTAAATAAATTTTATTAATAAAATCTGATGTTTTTTCTCACTTAATCTTAGTAAATAAGTTTTATCGAAGAAAAACTTTTATTGCTCACTCTACCTATTTTGTTTCAATTGACAGCTTTGACATCTCAAAATGGCGCCCAGTCGATCCTATTCTTAGTTGAATCGCTTTATATAACCAGAGTATAAAACCTAAAAGAAATGCATTCATGGGCTTCCTCTGTATTCAATTAGATTTCAGCGAGGCTATGCGCACGCTGGGCTTTCCGAAGCAGATCTCCCTAGAGAGTTTCCGGGTGCCCAATTGGGAGCTGGTAGAGGAGTGTCTCCGCTGGCTGGCGGCGCGCGTGGAGCCCGACGCTTCGCTGCCCGGCGGGCGGCAGTCCACAGAGCAGCGCGTCGCCATGGTGACACACGCTGTGGCCCTGTTCGTGAGTAACATTACATTAATCTCTATGACATTGATTCTGAACACGGTGACACTGCGGCCTGCAGTCGCAGCACGTAGCGACCACAGCGCAGACTGGAGTGACTGAGGCATGGTTCTGTGCATAACGCCACTCGCCGTACTTAAGAGCCCTTTCACATTTTTTGCAAAAAATCGTAATTTTAGAGCGCCTCGTTTACCCCCTTAGAAAATATTTTGACTATTTCCAATAGAAGTAAACAATAGATTTATTCTCTCTTTTGTAAGTTAATGTAGAATATTTGGAAATACTATTTTCCTTTTTTTGTACTGATCGTTCTATTGCAGCTAGTTTACGGAAAAAACGATAATATGCACAACTTCAAACGCCTTAATCTCTCAATAATGTTCAATAAATTAGATCAAATTAATTACTATGACATCAGAAATATGTGTTTGTTGTAACATAATGTATAAGAAATTTGATTTTCCATCTCATTAATTATCAAAAAAAAAACATCCAATCTCCGTGAGTTTTCCAAAAAAATAATGCAGGTTTACTTCGTATTTTGATGTTGAATTAAATAGAATTACTATCAAAAACTTTCATAAAAGTAATCTACCATCATTGAACTATTGAAATATGTATATATTTTTATAATTAGTTCATTAATAATTATTTTATAAGACTCGAAACATCACCCGTAAAATGCAATATATACTAGTGTAAATCTACCTACGCGCCGATCAGTACGGCAGCGGCGCAATTTTGTAAAAGGGCTCTTAAGAAGGCAACCACGACCGCATGCTGCACTGCGGTCGACAGCAGTTGCTAGCCGCAGTGTCGCCTGCGGTTGCAGCCTTCCGTCCTCTGGAATTGAACATTTAGGGAGCTAGGTACCTCCCGAGGGACCACACCGGGTTGCGGTAGCGTTTACCAATGCGGCAGTCTGCCTAGCAGAGCGATACACGCTGTTTCCCTAATTCGTGAGTGTAACATTAGCTAATAGTATAAACTGAATGAATTGAGTTTGCAATTAAACTCGATTCATCAAGCATAACTTTGAGCGTTGTGTATTTTTTGTTAGGCAGTAGAATACCCTATATTTGACAAGTTTCAGAAAACGATCTCACGTTATTGACTAATGTTTATGGAGTCCGCCCGGAGTGAATATTCATCATTCTGTTGTATATTTCAGTAAAAATAACCAAATCAAAAACTCCATTTTCATTTTGCCGCGTAAACGTTTCTCTGGACAATATGGCGTCTTACTAGTGTGTGACGTCACACGACTGTTATTAAAACGTCAAACGATACAATGTAATGTCACTTTAGTCGGAAGTTTACTTGCGTGTGACGTCATTTTAGGCTCCGCCAATTCCAAGCTTTTTTGTCACGTGACAATAGATAAGAAAACTATTACCTTTTTCGTTAGTTATTAGTAAAATTATGAATATTTTTTTTTGTAAAAATAGAAAAAAACCCCTGCCAATATTCATTCTAAACACAGATGCTAACAATTGGCACTTTATTTTTAACTAGCAAACCAGTGAACCAAATGTTCACCAAAACCTGATTTCTCGAAAACCGGAAGTGCTACGTTACTCAAATCCGGTTTGTAGTCTTATCAGACTATTCTTAACTTATAACTTACATATTCTCTTTATCTATCTCTTACGGTTTGGCCGCTGAAACAGCACCACAGACAGACGGACGGACTTGTCTAATAGATAAGAGATACTGTGTCCTATTTTCAAAGCATTCCCGCGCCAACCTGAAGTTGAACGGCAAGAAGTTGTACGGCGCCGACGGGTGGGCGGTGCGCGAGTTGCTCAAGGTGGCCACCCTGCTGCGCGCGGCGCTGGAGTCACCGCCGCCTGACGACCAGCAGGGGGAGTCTGGACCGCTCAACTATGACGTCACTACCAGGGTGGGTAAACCTTGCTGAGGGTGTATACCGAAATGTAGGCTTGTTGAAAATATATCGATATATCGATATTTTTTGCCGATATATTTTGATTCGATATATCGATACAAAATAACCAATATCGAAATTCGTATCAAAAACGATTTTTTTTTAATTATTAGCGGCATATCACGATTTAACTAAATTTGTATCTGGAAAAATCGTAACTGGATCTCAGATTAATGATATTCAACATATCTATGATCTGTGCTGTATTTAGTATTGTCTATGTCATCATTAGAAAATAGGGTCTTATTTTTAGGGCGATAATTTTCGTTCCATTATTATTCCGCGTGTCATATTTCGTGAGCTACTGTACGATATTTTTTTTAAAATTGGTCCGATATATCGATATATCGAAGCCGATATTGATATTTTTTTAAAGATTGATGTATCGATATATCGATATTTTTTTCAACTTTCGACATCCCTACCGAAATGTACATCAGTATACTGGCCAGTGGTAATGACGTCAAGAATCCGACGTCATATTGTACTGGTATGCTACCATATTTTTACCGGGAAAATGAATATGACGTATGACCGAGCGTGCGTGAGATGCATTCGAATTTTATTTCGTTTTTATTTAATGAACAATAATGGCATCCGAACAAAAAGAATTCCTTTTAATTGATGAGGTGAATAAAAAATCTTCTTTATGCGCACTATTTTTAATATTTCGTCGATTTATGACGTCAGTGCACTGGCCAATATATTTCGGAATAATTCACCAGTATAGCGTCGATCCATGACGTCATTAGCACTGGCCTGTATACTGGTATATATTACGGAACACACCCTAAATCTAGGATAAGTTGTATGTCGCCGTCCGATCGGGAAACCTTGACGAAGGTGATTCCGGATACGAACGTGGTGATGGCTTTGGCTTGTGGAATTTTTGAAGACATGACCTGGCTGTTACTTCGATTCCACAACCCATCGCTGAGGACGAAACGCCGTGAGGACTAGGGGAAATTTTGTTGTCTTCTAGCGCGTGGGTAGGCGAGAGTACGACATAATTCGCTCACTGTCTTGTTCTAGAGAGCGGGTACGTGTCATGCATTTCCCCACCTTAAAAAAAGTTTAGCTGTGAAAAGGGTAGTCGTATCCTGAATATGGTGGGTGGTACTACAGGATAATAACACTTATGGATAGCGTTATTTTGTAAAACCTTTTTCTCAGATGGACGGATGGGGTGTTCGCTCTTAAATCTGCTTTCGTTTGTCTGTCATAGGATGGGTGACCAATAATTTAGTAACTCGAGCAGGCACGTTAAGCCGATGGTCATGGGCACGTCTGGAGTTATTAGCATCAATCTGAAGTGAGCTCGTATAGTGATTCATGGGCTATTCTCCTCAAAGGAAAGGCATGCACCCCAGTAACGGGGACATTTATAAGATGACTAGCTGACTCGGCGAACTTCGTACCGCCCAAAAGTAATAATTTGCAATAAATTAAAATTGCGACTATAATTTGAGATTTAAACTATTCTATCCTCAAGTTGGATCGAACTGCACATGGTGTGCGATTTTTATTATAATCGGTTAAGTGGTTTAGGAGTCCATTGAGGACAAACATTGTGACACGAGATTTATATATATTAAGACTAGCGGCCCGCCCTCGCTTCGCTTCGGTGTAGAGCTGAAGTGTAGACTACATTTTTTGTTCTCAGGCTTGTATTATACACAGTGCTGCCAACCCGAATTTTAGAAAATTAGTAGATTATGTGCCAAATGTTGGTAGAAGTTGGTAGAATGTAAAATGCAAAATTGGTAGATCTACCACCTCAATTTAGAAGATTTTTGACGTGACAACGTCTTAAATTAGGTTGCGGCTGGGAGTCACTTATGAAAAAGTGTAACGCTCGGTAACGTTACGATGAGTCTCTCGTGTTAAGTTTAAGTTTACATGTACAATGTTTTAGTAAACAAAATATATTTCTATAGTTAAAATTTGTGCAATTCTTATTTTCATTCAATTCCTTGTTCCTATTGTGCAATTTAATTATATTCATATCAATAAATATTCTACCGAGAAAAAGACGTTGTCACGTAAAATCTTCGCCCGTAAAACCGACTTTACAGGCAACCATTTTTTAAGAATGCAATGCAATGCAGAGCACACTTCAGATCACACCTACATGATTTGCAATAAAAATATCCGTCACCCTTAGTAATTTCTTGAAGCCAACCTGCAAATTCCATGTCTTTCTCCCATAATTTCGAATATTTTTGGTCATACTTTTTTCTAGGTTTTCGTGGCGGAGTTCCTAACCTAGAACTATGTGCATCCCTTTCGCTGCTGTCAGAATCCATTATATAAATAAATGCACGCAACAAAGAACAAACAGCAATCAGCACCGTTAATACGCAGTTAATTAGTTTTTACAATAAAACAGGAGCAAAGATTCAACATTGATTACGCAACAAACCAACCGGGAATAGGCCACAGTAGGAATAGTAAAATATGGGCGCGAAATTGTGCGAACGCCGAACTCATGACGTTTTTTTTTGTGGTTTATGGCCTGGACTCTATGTATGCTTGACGCATCGTTGCGTGGCTCATGCAATACGTCGCTCGTCGATATAAAAATAATTCAAAGTGGAGATGTGTCAAACTAATTAAAAAATAGGTAGTTTTTAGGTCTAGGGTGGTAGATAGGTAGACTGAAGTGAAAATTGGTAGATCTACCAAAAAGTTGGTAGATATGACAGCACTGATTATACACAATTACATTCATCTACGATTCTTCTTATACCTGCATGCAAAGTCTGAGCCCGATCGGTTTAAAATTGACAAAGTTTCATACAAACTTTCATTCCCTATTTTATCCCCTTGGGGGTAGAATTGATCAAAATCCTTTCTTAGAGGATGCCTACGTCATAACATCTACCTGCATGTCAAATTTCAGCCCGATCCGTCCAGTGGTTTGGGTTGTGCGTTGATAGATCACTATGTCAGTCAGTCCTTTCGTTTTATATATATAGATGATGACTCCACAAATAATAATTTACTGCACCATTCATGGAATATAAATTTATACAATTCTATTTGTTTGTTTAGTTGGGGGAGATTAAACAAGCTCGAGCATTGGCGACAGACATCACCGCGCAGGGTGCTTTCCTGTACGACTTGCTGGCTAAAGAGATTGAAAACAAGGTGTGAAAAAGTTAATCTTTCGAGAGATACTAAACTTATCTAGCTACACACATAGAATTTGAATAAAGTTTTTATTACTATTGTTTTTTTATGTTATAAGGTCAGGCCTATGTTAAGCGGTCACCATAGCATTTTTAATTCCTTTGTTATGTAGACTTGAAGCACTAAACTTGTTTAATGAAAATCACCGAACCAGTGGCGTGTTTACAAATTTGCCGCTAATAGGCTATTAAATTTTTGCCTCCCTTACTGACCTTTGAAATTCTATATGCTAGTTCACAATTATATTTATTCTGAAATTGCAACTTTATGATTTGTGTTCTATCGTCCACATTACGTCGGCTTTTCCCCGTTAGTTTAAAAAACTACTAAATTTAAATTGTAATTAATATTGAAACGCTAATGGAATATTTTAAAAATTCATGATCGCAGAAGTACATACCTATATTTTACAGTGCGTTTAGTAATCTTTTATATACGGATTACGGACGTAAGAGTGTTGAGTATACTGTGCATTACTAAAATATTAAAATTTTTGTCACTCGTTTTTCTGTGTAGATTTTGGGCCAAATTTACCGCCCCCTTAATTCTGCCGCCCTAGGCTCCAGCCTACTGAGCCTACTGGTAAATCCGCCACTGCACCGAACTCAATTCAAATTGGCCTCTAAGAAGCTTGGTGTGCTCAATAAATCGAGAATGTACTTCACACCGGCCCACCGACTGCAACTTTATAAGTCACAGGTTCGGCCTCACATGGAGTACTGCTCTCATCTTTGGGCGGGGGCACCCCAGTACCAAGTTCTCCCTTTGGATCGCATCCAGCGCCGAGCGGCTCGAATCGTCGCCAGCAGTGTTTCCTGACCAATACAACCCAAAAACCTTCAAAAAAAGAGCGTACTCCTTCCTTAAAGTCCGGCATCGCATTTGTGATACTCTTGGTGTTGCAAGTGTCCATGGGCGACGGTGATCACTTACCATCAGGTGAGCAGTCTGCCCGTATGCCCCCTATAACATAAAAAAAACTAGAGTTAACACAGTAGTCGTAACTCAGATACTTATTCAGTTTATACTGTTACGAGTTCTTCTGAACATAATCGCTTCGCTAGTTTACGGCGGGAAACCTTGTACTCCGAACCGACAAAAAACTCAACCCATCTTATTCCAAACGCGGACTACAAGTTAGTCATGGTTTTGAACCTAATGATGTCTCCGTCTTCTTTTTAGCAAACAAAATTGATAGCATCAGTTTTAATCCTGGTTTAACCTTAGTCTACGTAATAAGGCGGAACAAGATTAAACATAAACTATGTAGGTATGTCGGTGACTTTGGTTCTCTGTCGGATTACATCATTTCTGATGCGGCCCTTCAGGGATACTCTGAGCATAGCCCTTTCCATAGCTTTCTGAGCGACTTTAAACTGGCATAGCCCACCGAATTAGCAAACTGAAGTGGCAGTGGACTGGTAAAATTAGCCGCAGAACTGATGGCCGTTGGAGCCGAGAGTATTGTAGGACGCCCTGAGACAAGATGGGATGATGATATTCGTAGGCTGGCTGGAGTGGGCTGGATGAGAGTTGCACAAAATCGGGAGCAGTGGCGTGCATTAGGGGAGACCTATGTCCAGCAGTGGACGAACATAGGTTGATGATGAATATAGGTATAAGTCGCGGCACGAAATTCTAGCGCTGACCGTTATTGCGCAGAAGTAAAAATTAAGATGTCTTGAGGGGAAACGAGGTGCGCGGGTTGGCTTTCCAGTTGTACCCATGCGATTTTTTTTCAACATCTGCCCTTCTGCGACTCGCAGATGACCTTTACAGCGTCAAGGGGACCTCAAGCCGAGAATTGGCGAGTGCTTCTAGAGGTATTCCAAGGCGGATGGCATCTCCCCACGGGGGGAGTCTCCTCTTCGTCTGGAGCCTCTAGACCACTCGAACCTGAGGGGGTCGACTCAACTAGAGGGCGTCTCCGAGACTCGGAACTCGGCTCTAGTTAGCTGTTGTCATGGGGTAGCCCATGCGTTCTCCTTCGCGTTTTGTTCAGCGACTCAGTTACATGCCGTGACCTGTAAGGCGCTTAGCAGACGACGGGGCAGGGCGGGCATTTTGTCCGCGAAGCAATAAAGACCGCGTCTGCCCGTCGATGTCTGCGGCTGCCCGCGCCGCGTACACAAAGCACACGACGGCCAGCGGCGGTCAGTTTAGGACGTTCGTTCTAGTGAATACTTCATCACTAAAAAGCGCGTGGCGCGGAGTGAGCTAGCCGCCCCGCGCCGCCGTCTGCGTTACTGCATATAAAATGGTTTGTATGATCCACGGCGGGCAGCCGCGGACATGCCGCGCCGCCACTGCCCGCCGGGCACCCAAGGCGCGGTCTTTTTGCCCTCTGTGTGCGCAGTGGCGTGTTTACAAATTTGCCGCTAATAGGCTATTAAATTTTTGCCGCCCCTACTGACCTTTGAAATTCAATACGCTAGTTCACAATTATATTTATTCTGAAATTGCAACTTTATGATTTGTGTTGTCTCGTCCACATTACGTCGGCTTTTCCCCGTTAGTTTAAAAATTACTTAATTTAAATTGTAATGAATATTGAAACGATATTGGAATATTTTAAAAATTTATGTTCGCATTAGTACCTATGTTTTACAGTGCGTTTAGTAATATTTTATTTTTAATTAAATTTTTGTCACGCGTTTCTCTGTGTTGGTATATTTTTGGCCAAATTTGCCGCCCCCTAAAATCTGCCGCCCTAGGCTCCAGCCTACACAGCCTACTGGTAAATCCGCCACTGTGTGTGCGTTTGAAGTATAGGATTCACTTTGTGCTATTATTCGCGGCGAAATTGACCGGCCCGCCCCGCCCCGTCGTCTGCAAAGCGCCTAATTGGGTTTGTATTGTGTTAGGAGGTCCGCGAGCAAGCCCTGTCCCGTCCGCTAGACATGTCCGCCATGGAAGCGGCGCTGAGACGCGCGCTAGACGCAGTGGTGGGGCAGGTGGGGGCGGCGCGGGACCAGATCGACAATGTGGCCGCCAGCGAGGCCGCGCTCGACGCCAAGCTGGAGCGCCGACGAGCCGAACTCGCCAGGGCTGAGAAGAGGCTGCACACCGTGCAGAAGATCAAGTCAGTCCAAACAATCTCTTAATTGAACATCAAGAATACTTATCTTTTTATTTATTTTTAAGCATTTAACGGCTAGATGTCTAAATGTAAAGAAAAGTTTACTAGAAAAAAATGGGTGCGTGTACTTATGTAGGCGCGTGAGTAGTTATCCTTCTTTGGCATCGTTTAAAATTAGTTTTTAATTGCATGCAAATAATTAATTACAATAAATTAATAAAAAGTCTGGAAAAGGACACAGTCAATAAAGTTCAGTTTTAATTTGAAAAAATAAATAAATAGTCAAAATATTCAATTAAAATCGCTACTGAATATAATTTATTAGAACATATGTGATTTGCACTTGTATGAAACTCAAACACGTATTCCGAATATACAAACTAGAAACATGTGGATAAATATTATAAATATGAATACCTATAACTGTTACTTTATTACAAAAAATAAAGATGTGGTTTTTGGTTCTTCTACACCAATGGTCAAGAGATGGCGCTGTAGTCTCCTGAATCGCGCTTTGGTTCCGTTGTTCCAGATTAATAAATACTTTTGATAGGCCTTCACAATGCAGTCGTTAGCACCCACTAAATAGAAATTCTATTTCTATTTTGTTGGTAGATTTTCTTAATGTGCGGTAAACACAAAAGTAACGTAAACTGTTAAAATTTTGTGTTACAGTGATGCGCGCGCATCTTAAAATTTCACTCTCATCATTTTTTCATAACGCGCCTAAAGAAGTATAACTTCAAAAATCCACGCGGACCAGGCAGCGGATTTGTAGTTTTTTTTTCTATTAAACTTTTCTTTAGATTTAGACATCTAGCAGTTAAATGCTTAAAAATAAATAAAAACATAACTATAATTGCTGTTTCTTCTTTCAAATGATTAATACTTGAAAAAGTATTCATTTGACATTGTGGTTTACCTACAATGCGAAGAGATGGCGCTGCCTTGCAGCTTAAGGCTAGGAAAATTTTGACGCGGCGAATAGGGCCGTGGTAGCATAATGGTCAGTGCATTCGCCCGGATTGCGAAGGGTGCGGGTTCGAGTCCCGTCCGCTGCCTGGTCCACGTGGTTTTTTTTTCTAGTAAACTTTTCTTTAGATTTAATCATCAATACTCTTATGAAAAAGGGCTATTATAAAGTTGATGATTATCTCAATGATCGTAATGCATGGACATAGTGTTTCTTGTTATTTGATGGGTATAACAGTAATATGATAACTATTTAATGCGGTTTCCTATATACTAAATATAAAGTTAACTATAAAATTTATTGTAACTATATATCTATATTTTAAATGATGTAATGGAAGGTGATTTCGGAAGTATCACTAAAGTCATTTTCAACTTGACGACTATATATAACAATACAGGAAGAAAAAAAACAGCGTTTGCTGTGTTTCTTGCAGTTCTTCGCAGTACAAGGTCTCCAGACGTAGTTTTGCGAACCGACGGCGTAGATTCCTGACCGCCACAAGTGCTTGTAACAGCCTAGACTGAATAAATGATTTAAGATTTGATTTAATTCGAATTGACGGTTCATCTACAGACTGGTGACTTAAGTTTTAATAAGTATATTTTGTGGCCAACGTTTCTACTTAAATTAATAATAAAATTTGATCAATTTCCCAAAGCTTAGCTTTCCTTTCCAAACTTAAAATCAATATTCACCTTAGGTTATTACAAGTTCTTCTGAACCTCTTTCGCTGTCGATACCCCATCAACTCATAAGTATACAGCGAGAGACCTTATACCGGGAAGAACCGGCGAAAAACTCAGCAAGGGCTATTTTTTCTCCCTTTTTTTATATCTTACTTTGGTTTTGTATGGAGCTCGATAACGCGATTGCTTAGCGCGTTCGATGAAGTTTTCTTTCACAATCGTTGCGATCCTGATAGTAAACTTCTTGAACATGGCCGGTACACCGTGCTTGCTTCGGAAGAATATTATGTCGTCGGTGTCAGCTGCACCTGCAGTCGTTAGCACCCACCTAATCCCTTCAGGGAGGATATGGTGACACCCACGTGTGTCCATCCATTGAGTTATCCTATGTCCCAGCAGTCGAGACATTATAATAGGCTGATAATAGAGATGGGCCTTTTTAGATATTTGTGAAATCGATGCGCATCGGTATCAGATAAATCGCATCGGATCCGCGCACCGAAGCCGGCATCGCATCGATGCCAAGTGAATGAATGTGAGTATCGTAGTATCACTAACTTTTCAGTGCGAGTGGCAAAAATTGGAACTAAAATTTATCCATAGCATTGTGACATTTTTAGGACATTTTGTTCACCGCTAGCGACATCTTCACCGGCACAGATAAGTTTGTGGCACCGTTGCTATAGTAACGTTGACGAAAACTAGATGGCATCGGCATCCAATAACGGCATCCAGACGCATCGGATGCGCGCATCCAAACCTGGCATCGTTATTCTAAAAACGCCCACCTCTAACTGATAATGATAACTTTTTGTAACATAACTACTCAGGCCAGCGTATCAAGGTGAGCTGACGGCACTGGAGGCGGAGATCTCGCAACTATGGGAGCAGTACGTGCTGCGCTATCGCTGCGTGGAGGCGCTCAAGCATCAGCTCAGCGTGCTGGAGAGTGCGCAGGCAGAGGTAACTTTCTGTTAATTTTCTTCCATAACTATGGAAGGCTAACTAGCCTTTTTTGGAGCATGTGGCGGCGACATCTATATGCCCCACAGATATACAACGGATGTAGGAAATCATTACTCACCATCCTCAAGAGATGGCGTTACCTGCACTGCGATCAATAGTAGTATGGAAGCCTACATCGCGCAAATGAAATTCGGAGGCTAACTCTTCTTAAATACGATGCCCGTCCAACATCAGTCGGGCCGCGGCCCCCGAGCTAACATCACCAAGCTCGGAGGAAGATCTTCCCCTTTGGCCTTGCCAGACAAGCGCCTTTGCTAAATTTTAATAAGTTGCAGAACATAGTTACAGCAATCAACCTGTTGGCGGCAAACCCAAATGCCACCTAGTGCCGTCCCTAACATAGAGTATCCCCATAGGACGCATTGTAAGTAGGGTTGCAACGATATATCGGAATATCGATAATATCGATAATATCGAGACCAAAATATCGATATTTATATCGATATTTGAAATTCACTGATATCGATAATATCGATATCGGAAATTCCAAAATATCGATATTTTGTGGACTAAATTTAAACACAATAATATCAATTGATTTACCTGCTATGACTATCTAAATTGAATAATATCGAAATAACTATTGCTTTGAAATCGCAAGAGCTTATAGATGTATTAAAAAATCTAGAACCCCAAGAAATATACTAAACTACAACAGTGTATCCTTGTCATTCTCTATACAGAATGAAAAGGAGAGACTGATGTTAAATTTAGTTTTAAGTTTAGATAATCATGCCAGAATCGACACCAACGTATATAGGTATAATCGTATACCTAATGGTAACTCATGCATTTAAATAAAATACTTGCCTCTCTTTCTAGATAATTGTCAACTACTGATTAATTAAAATTTAATATCATTGTAATATAACACAAAATAAAATTAAGAATCTTATCTTATACAAATCGTAATTTTTTTAAGCTCGCCAAGCCAAGAAAGTAAGATAGGTATAGTAATTTTGGAAGCTTTGGGCTTACCCTATTCTGAAGCCATGGGCACGCCCCTGATGTGTAGGTTTTACTAATACATAACAATTGTTTTTCATATGATTATCTATTCTGATTTTGGCTGCGTGCAAACATTTTAAACATAAAAAATATCTTTGATTCGAAATTGGTTTTGATTTGATACTTCTTACAGCGCTATAAAAATATAGAAAATGTTGGAATGGCTGATATATCGGTTCGGATATCGATATTTACCTGCCCACATTATAAATATCGATATTTCGGAAACCTTTTCTCCCTTAATTATAGGTTTTTGCTTTGCAAACTTAATACAAAGCAAAAAAAAGAAAAAATATCGATATATCGATAATATCGAGTTAAAATGGTCGATATATCGGATATCGATATTTTCCTGACTTCGATATAAATATCGATATTTCAGAAGACTTTGCATCCCTAATTGTAAGGTTTGTGTTATAGAATACTAGGGTAACGGATAGAAATACATAAAATGATACATATATAAGTACATTTTTCTAGAAACATAAAGAGTCATGACCTGATAGCTCATATTCAGCATACACACATTTGCGCCATCGGGATTCGACTCTAGAACCTCGAAGTAGAAGACGAAGAAGACGTATTCTAAAGACCGCGGTGTCAAAACTAGGGCTGCTGTCTATCTCTTAAAGGTTCAAAGGCAAATTAGTTAATGAACACCTACTAAGTTGCATGAATCTCTTTAAGTGCGTAGAAGATTTGATGTGTGTAGAAAATCAAGTTGGATTCTGTTGACACTATTATCACAGTTTATTTTTCAGGCAGCTGAAGAGCAACAGGCTGCGATAATGCAGCTCATTCATAAGTACGAAGCTGAAGATGTGCTGGGCAAGCTCAGCGACTCAGGTATCTAACCAGTTTGATGCAAAGAGGTATAAATCATGTATCAGCTACCTTCACTTAACATCAGGTGGGGTGGTCGGTTGGACCTATCTATATATATATATATATATATATATATATATATGTATATCTATCATCAGCCTATTAATGTCCCCACTGCTGGGGCACAGGCCTTCCCTATGGTATAGATGGAATAGGGAGTTTAGAGCCATGACCCACCACGCGGGCCCAGTGCGGTTTGGTGGGTGCTAACGGCTGCAGATGCAGCCGGGACCAACGGCTTAACGTGCCTTCCGAAGCACGGAGGAGCTCGAGATAGAAAATTTTTGGTCACCCATCCAATGACCGACCACTGCGACAGTTGCTTAACTTCAACGATCGCAGCCGAACGCGCTAACCACCTGCGCCATCGAGCTCCTCAATATGTATATATACACATATATATAAAAAAAAACAGTTTATAAATTGGAAAACTATTTTGTACCGTGACGATTGTATAGTTGACTTTAAAGTATACAGTGTATATGATATACTTATGAATTCAGTTTTCATTTGTGATCTTTTTATAATGGGTGGAATATTTTTTTGAGATCATTAAGAGAATACTAATGAGAGAGTGCTTGTTCTATAGATTCGGTTTTTGGATAATTGGAAACTTCTCCTAATCACTTCCTATATAACCTATAAGGTTATAATAATATTTAAATATGATTTATTTTTCAGACGATACCGGGTCTAGTGATGAAGATAAAGATTTGAGCGAACCGAAGCAACCGCGTCCTGCGACCAGGCCCAAGACTAGGCTACGGATTAAGACTGCCGGTTATTTTATTATATAATATTCTTTATATTTTTTGCACTTTTTTGTGTAAATGGATGGCAAACAAGCATGAGAATCATATCTGAGCAAACGATCGCAGCTAGTCACAGTCAAAGGTTTTGCCTCTTCTTCCATTAATGTCGCTTCGGGGGTTCCCCAGGGGTCGCATCTTGGACTTCTACTGTTTGTCATCTTCATTAATGATTTGACTAGTTGCTTAACATGTCCTGCCCTTGTTTACGCCGACGATCTTAAGGTATATGCCAATGTCCAAGGCAAAAGACAGAGCATAGCTCTACAAAATGACCTGCATGTTGTTTCAGAGTGGTGTCTTTCTAATGAAATATAACTTAATGTGGATAAGTTTTGTGTCATTTCTTTTACTAATAAAAAGTTTGAACTCTCTCGCTCATATAACATACAAAACCTTATCTTGACAAGATGTGACACTGTCAAGGACCTTGGCGTGATCTTCGTCGAAAAACTATCGTTCCGTCACCATTATGATTATATTATAAAGAAGAGTCGCAAGCTCTTGGGATTTATAATAAGAACTATAATGGAATTAAAAAAGGCGTAAAGCTTTTTGTAGCTCTTCAATAGACTAGTCAGAAGTGTCCTAAGAGTACTGCTGCTGCTCTCTTTGGTCTCCATTTTATGAAGTCCATGTAGATAGTCTGGAAAAGGTTAAAAAAGATGCTTAAAATACTTTTCCTATAAACATGGACTCGGTAGATCTTTAAAAGGATACAGTCAAAGGTTGTCTAATAGTAGCCATACACACTACGAGAAATCGTTACGATCAGATTGTACAGTTTGAACGGAACAGTTTATTGTACGTGGCGTACGTATAGAAAACTATGCAGTTTTATAACATACACGCTACGATTCATCGGTACCGTTCGGACTGTACAGTCTAATCGTAACGATTTCTCGTAGTGTGTATGGCTACCATAAGTTTGGAACAATTTCTCTGGCATCCCGCCGGAAAAGATACGATCTGCTTTATCTTCATAAGTTGCTACCTTCATCTATCGATGCAGCTAACCTATTGTCATCATTATGATTAATACGACATAAATCACGAAGTCCCAACACGTTCGTAATACAGGTTTATAAAAATAATACGTCCTATTAAAGCCCCTTGGTTAGTTTTTTTTTTTTATGTTATAGGGGGCATACGAGCAGTTTTTTTTATATTATAGGGGGCATACGAGCAGACGGCTCACCTGATGGTAAGTGATCACCGTCGCCCATGGACACTTGCAACACCAGGAGTATCACAAATGCGATGCCGGCCTTTGAGGAAGGAGTACGCTCTTTTTCTGAAGGTTTTTGGGTCGTATTGGTCCGGAAACACTGCTGGCGACAATATATTCCACAGTTTTGTCGTACGTGGTAAAAAATTTCGACAAAAACGCACGGTTGTGGATAGCCACGCATCAAGATGATGGGGATGAAATTAGAATGTGCCGTTCATTTAATAAAGTGGCGCATAGTAGCAAAGACAACAATATATTTAAAGATAATTTTGCGCGTTACAAATAGGTTATTTCTGACCTCTTCAAAAATCAAGAATACTGTCCACCTCTCGAGGAGCTCGATGGCGCAACTGGTTAGCGCGTTCGGCTGCGATCGTTGAAGTTAAGCAACTTTCGCAGTGGTCGGTCATTGGATGGGTGACCAAAAAATTTACTATCTCGAGCTCCTCCGTGCTTCGGAAGGCACGTTAAGCCGTTGGTCCCGGTTGCATCTGCAGTCGTTAGCACCCACCAATCCGCACTGGGCCCGCGTGGTGGGTCATGGCCCAATCTCCCTATTCCATCCATAGGGAAGGCCTGTGCCCCAGGAGTGGGGACATTAATAGGCTGATGATGATGATGACTGTCCACCTTGTACCACATAATTAGATTTTTTTTTCGTTCTTTGACTTACTATATTATTTCCATTTGTTTTTTTTTCTCTTAATAAGATGTGATAATTAATTATTGCTGTGTACACAATTAATGGATAAATAAAATAAGCTACAAAATATATTGTGTATCGACTGTAATCGGTCTGTGTACCTTTTCAAATAAATACGGCTAACTGGATATTCAGATTAGTGGACATTCAGGGAAAGGTGGTATTTAGGGATATATTTCATAGGGTTGCTTCTACACTACACTTTGGTTAGCACGTTGGCCAGTTCAATGTAGTTTAGTACATATTCTTCCATTGTTGGAGTCAAAGCAAGATCTTGGTGGTGGATATAGAGCCTGGGTTCCGAACCTGGGGGTAATTACCCCTCCGGGGGTAAATCAGCCATACTTCGGGGGTAACAAAGAACCTAATTATTTGGTCAAATCTAAATAATAAGAAAATACTATATAATAATACTACTAAATGCGCCCCTTCTTGCTAGCGAGCCCGCGGGGTGCTGAGTGTGGGAAGCGAGGCGAGATTATCTCCTGATGATGACATTACTAGCAAACCAGTGAACCAAATGTTCACCAAAACCTGATTTCTCGAAAACCGGAAGTGCTACGTTACTCAAATCCGGTTTGTAGTCTTATCAGGCTATTCTTAACTTGTAACTTAAATATTCTCTTTATCTATCTCTTACGGGTTGGCCGCTGAAACAGCACCACAGACAGACGGACGGACTTGTCTAATAGATAAGAGATTAGAGACGAAGATGTAGCGGCCAAATTGGAATTACTTGGACTGTTGATAACATTTTAAAGTCGGGGTAAAATCTGTTTTCCTAATAGGTTACAGGGGTACCAGTATTGGAAAGGTTAGGAAACACTGATATAGAGGGTTTTGGTTCCAGGTGTGGCAGCTGTAGAGGCAAGACGTGCGTTCGGCAGCATGGGGGCGGGGGCGGGGGTGAGTGTGGGGGCGCGAGATTCCCTCGACGACATCCGAGACGATGATGACGACCAATCCGATTCCGACTTCTCCGATCGGCAGGCGTATGGTGAGTATCACTCACGGAACAATAAACCCGAAATATTACAGCTATTAACGGGATCAGGTGCGAGTGAATAGTGAAAATGTGACCAGTGGTCTTAGATTAAAACAAAAAGGGTAGATACGGTACGCTCATACTTGCATCAAACAAAAACTGATCCCACGGCAGCGCGAACGGGACGGCGAGATCCGCGTCACTGCATTACCGACCAATCACGCGACCAGTACTCGACGTCACTACCGAATAAGATTCAAAACAAACAGCAATTTTTATGAAAAAATATATTTTATAGTACTTACGAATGAAAAGTGATGCCGTGGGTTTTATTTTTAGTTCTTGAGCAATTTGAGCACTTTTTAAAAACACACTTAGGCATTGTTTTATCATATAAACACAAAATATTATCAATATTTCTTTTTGGCGTTCACATGTACGTCGTTTGCATGTCAAGTTGTGACTAAAGCGATTAGGGTCGTGGACCACAATTTGTGCGGATCACTTTTGTGAGGCTAGTGCCGTATCTACCCTTTTTGTTTTAATCTAAGCCAGTGGTAGGGGTATCCGCTGCCAATAACATCTACCCGCAATTACTTCAGTTACTCCGTGTTGGTGCCGAAATATCGGAGACTCATAAAAAACAAGGTACATGATAACAATCCCTTTAATAGCTGTGTGTTAGTGACCATGAAAGTTTAAAACAATAAACCCGAAAAAGAAATATCGTAGGCATGTGCTTCAGCATGTGAGAGTTTGGGAAAATTTATGTCACCAGTTGACGCCACGATGGCATGAGGTCGTTTGTATGAAGTTTTTGGCGAGAATTTGTCTATTCTCTTCTTTTAATGGCAATTGTGTCGATGCTAATGTCGACAATTTTGCCAATATCATAAGTGATGACCAAGTGTGTGTTTGGTCAATTTGTTCAAAAACCTGTTTTAGAAAACTATAGTTTATCCAGCGAAGACATTGAAACTGGATGTGTTTATTCTTATTATGGTTAGTATGCTGAAACTGTAGGTATATATTAAGCGTAAGAACATTAAATTGCATTACACCACAGTTTACATATATATGATTAAATTTGTCATAGTTTTATGGAATTGCAATGGATGAAGGTCATCAAAGTCCTGGTATGTTTAGGAGAAAAATAGGTGAGAAGGGAAGCCATGTTGATTGGGAACGGAATTTTTAGCTCTGAGAGATCGAATGAGCATTGCAATTGATCCATAGACTATGCCGACAAAAGTGATTTGACGGATGAGTAGACTTTTCGTCTCAGTGCTGGCACCTGGCGCCTGTCATTCCAAATCATGCGCAGGTTTCAGTCCGTGCGGGGGTTGCGTGCTTTATCGTCCTAGGATATACTGTACTTCCAGGGCCCAAAAGTAAAAACTTCACAGTTTTGTTGGTTGTAATTTCGCATTTTTGTTGTTAAAAAGGTTTCTGTTAACCACATTATTAAAAAAAATGTCACACTTATGCACTGGTAGTTTTTTGGAAAAAAATATTGAAAATTTTTACTTTTCTTATCAAGTAGTGATACTTCACACTAGGTTAGGTTAGTGTTGTGACCATAACGCGCGAGCCGAGCGAGCAAAGCGAGCGTGCCGCGGCAGCGGCCGGCGAAGCGCCAGAAAAAAAAAAACTGTTAAAAAGACCTTTTCTACAAAAAAAAAACAAGTATCACCTTTTGGGCCCTGGGAGTACAGTTTTACCTCATCCTATATTTCGTTTACTTAATGCCAAGACTTGCGCTAATTTCACAGCCGCAATGAAGTTCTATTTAGTTGTAGGAATTATTATTTACATTTCCTCAGTATTATCTCGGTGCTAGCGGTTTACACCTCGATAATACTGCAAATGCTATGGGGATTGTATTTCGTTGTTGCTATTTGTTAAATGGTTTAACGTTATTTATTATATTTGTGATGTATTTAGTTTACGGGTTCATGTATGATTCTTTACTTAGAATTTGCAGTAGGTTAAATTGGTTCTGTAGGTTGCAGGTGGAGATGTTATATTCGATGCGGGCAGCGGCGAAACGTGGGCAGTTTTCGATAAGTGAATCATCTTATATATAGCTTTGGGTACTGGTGTTGTCACAAGGGCAGAAGTCGTCTTGAGTAATGTGGAATCTGTGTAGATATTCTTTATGATAACCGTGGTTTGTGAGCAATTGTGTTATGGCAAATCTAGGGGGAGCTATTGAAAGGAATTTAAGAAGATGTTCAAGAGTTGGTAGGATTTTCTTGGTATGTGTAGGGTAGGCCTGTGCCCCAGCAGTGGGGACATTAATAGGCTGATGATGATGATTTTATAACATGACATCAGTCTGTCCTTTTCATTCCTTATTAAGCATAACAAGGACAAACTGTTGTCAAGTGAAGGGCCGGCATAAAACTTGGTACTCTGTGGTCGTGGTGCATGCAGTTTGCATTCGTAGTAATCTGTGGCATTCGTGCATTCCAAAGAGTAGTTTAATATACCGGAAAGTGCATTCTCGTTTCGGATTACCTGTTGTGTGTCTTTATTTGCGATTGTCTTTCCTTTAATTTAAATTTAACTATTTCGGCTAATATGCCATCGAGTTTCGGCGTAGAGGTCTTTGGCGGCGATGTAAAGATTTGAGGAGTTTTCGTATTTAATGAAGTTGAAGCAATGAAGTTCTGATCGCCTATTAATACTAAACAGTGTGGTGTGTTGGTGTATCCAGGTGTTGAGACCCATTCCCGTTGGTCTCGCGCGCGGCCTCGTCCCGCCACGCGCACGCTGGCCGCCGCCGACGACGACGACTTCGCCGACCTCATCGAAGGTATCAATAAATAAATTAATATTTCAAACACTCACCAATTAGCCTAGCCCCAAAGTTAGCACTGTAAGGCGTGAGTTATGGGATACTAGGTTAACGGATATACAGGGTGTAAAAAATCCTTTAACGTAGTCGAAGGCCACGTATTTTCCACATCATGACAATCATTTTTTTTCTTCTGGACCATACCTGGGAAATTTATGGTTATGGAGATATTGAAGGTCAAAGTTTCAAGATTTCTTCATTTATATTTTCAAAATGTTATTTAGAAACTTTTTTATCTACGCACTTACGTACAGGCGCATTCATTGCGTAGCGCCACAGTAGCGCGCCGCGCTATACATTGCGTACTGAAAAAAAAAGGTTTTTTTTAACTAAAAAAAATACAAATGATTCCCACGTATTATATTTTGTAATATTACTTGTTTGGTTGTATAGAATGCGCAGTTTTAGTCTTTGTCATAGGTTATTTTACACCTGTATACTAAGGTAACGAAATACATATCATAAGTATATTTTTTTTTAAATTAAATTGAAATATAAACGTCCATGGTTAAGGTACAAATGCTCGTACTGATCGTACTAACTTTTCCCCCCACCGGGATTCGAAACCGAGTACCTCGAGTAGGCAACACCTTGAAACCCTTGTATACAGGTTGTCCCACGGAGGGAAAGTTTATTAATATTGAAAATAGGATATTTTTAGTGAGAGAAGACATCATCTTATTTTTAATAATAAGCCGAACTACATTCACAGTTTTCAAAAAATCGCCTACCAAAACCGGGAATCAAACTCGTGAAATGTGATTTATCTTCGGCTTGCTACTAGTGCGTTGTCTTTGCATTTGTCGGTTTTTTTTTTAATAATTCTGTTTTCTTCGCTTTATTACAATGGTCTGGGTTATTTGCTTTGTTTTTCTTCTATGTGTTTTTAATTGTTTTGTCAGACCCAGTCCCGGGGTGACGCTTTTCCATACGTCCCCGGGGGCTGGGGCTGAGCATTTGTTGGTTTATATGTTTCGTCTCCATAATAAAGTATTATATGTGTTGTATGAGGAGCTCGATGGCGCAAGTGGTTAGCGCGTTCGACTGCGATCGTTGAAATTAAGCAACATTCGCAGTGGTCGGTCATTGGATGGGTGACCAAAAATTTACTATCTCGAGCTCCTCCGTGCTTCGGAAGGCACGTTAAGCCGTTGGTCCCGGCTGCATCTGCAGTCGATAGCACTCACCAATTCGCACTGGGCCCGCGTGGTGGGTCATGGCCCAATCTCCCTATTCCATCCATAGGGAAGGCCTGTGCCCCAGCAGTGGGGACATTAATAAACTGATAATGATGTGTTGTATGTCAGGGGTGGAGGCGGAGGAAGCAGGCGGGTCGCTGGGCAGCTCGTCGGAGAGTGAGCTGCGCCTCACCAGCGCCGCGCCCGGCAGAACTTCCGCGCTCAGCGACAACGAGTTCTAGATAACTCCCCCCCCCCCCCCCCCCCCCTCCCACGACCACAGTTGAGCTGACCCCCTCACGTTCGAGTGGTCTAGAGGCGCCAGACGGAGAGGAGACTCCCCCCGTGGGGAGACGCCATCCGCCTGGAATACCTCTAGGGGCACTCGCTTTTTTCTTTGTTTATCAGGTAGATTATCAAAAAGTATTGGACACGTATTTTTTCTTTTTTCACATAATATAAACATTGCATAGATATATTGATTTGAAAAGTCGCATGACGTCACGCATATAAGTGAAAATTCACTCAAAAGTGACGTCACGAGCCCCTACTGCCAAACTTTGACGCGCTATAACTTTGTCATTTTTTGGTTGATTGCCCGAAGAAAAAATACGTGTCTATTATTTTTTGATCATCTAACTGACGGACTAAATAGAATTTCGTTTACTGTACCCCGCCATCACCGCTATTCTCGGCTTGAGGTCCCCTTAGGATCTCGCCGTCCCCAAACCCGGTGACGCTGTAAAGGTCATCTGCGACCAACAGCATACATACTCAAGAAAAAAAGAGTTCTACATATACTTACCCTTAAGTTGAAACTACATGCTTAAATCAATAAAAAAATAGAGGAACTCGATAGCGCAGCGCAGGTGGATAGCGCATTCGGTTGCGTTTATTGAAATTTATTTTAGATTATTTTTAGGAGCTTTATCTCTATTTTTCACATTTTTCAACTTGTTGACTGGATTATAATCTGTCCAACTTGAGTTGGTACGTATTTAAAGAACGTACTAATTATGTCAATTGCTAATGCCTAATAATATGGGTTAGTTTCCAATAATACTTTAATTTAACAAGGAATGTGGCGCCACATATCGGATACCACCTTTTAGTTGAAACATTGTACCAAGACTTTGACTGAAAATCGAAATCAGGAGACATACTCTAATTCAACGAAAAACGAAATTTCGATTGAAACTTCGCACTTTTCTTATTATGTTTCTGGTTCGTTTTTAATAGGGGTGATGACGGGGTACAGTAAACGAAATTCTATTGAGTCCGTCAGTTAGATGATCAAAAAATAATGGACACGTATTTTTTCTTTGGACAATCAACCAAAAAACGACAAAGTTATAGCGCGTCAAAGTTTGGGAGTAGGGGCTCGTGACGTCACTTTTGAGTGAATTTTCACTTATAAGTGTACTCAAACGTGACGTCATGCGACTTTTCAAATCAATTTATCTCTGCAATGTTTATATTATGTGAAAAAAGAAAAAATACGTGTCCAACACTTTTTGATAATCTACCTGATAAACGAAGAAAAAAAAATTAGTCATCATCCCTATTATAATAGTATTCGTTGTCGGAATATAGATTGAGGTGTAGATATTTTAAGCCTACTCAAAGAAAGCTTCAATTTGATAGTTTATCGTTCAAATTAAGTATAACCTTAAATTTACGAAATTAAAATATCGAAAGTCCGTTTCGGAGATAGAGAGTAGACCCCCAGTTTTGATTAAGAACTTAATGAGTTCTGCAATAAGAGATCATACTAAGCCTCCTGAATAGGTATAAAGAAAAGAAAACACCTCATTTATAATACGTGTATTACATTTATTACTCTTCACCTATGAGCGAAAAATATTCCCAATAAAAATTTACAAAATAAATAAGTTTTTTATTATTAATATTACAATCGATATAATAATTCGTTGACTACGCAGCCCCATACTGACCTATATGAAAAGTTAATTGTTACATTTCATATCTTTAATTTGTAATTGAAACTTAATTAGGTAGTTAATATAACTTCTTCCGAGCGTTGTGAACATTGTTGACATTGGTGTGAACATTTGTAAACTATGTGAAGAAAGAATAATACCGCCTTATTACAAGACGTAGATTAAAGTTCAACTTGTATAAAAACTATGCTTTTATTTATTTTTTAAGCATTTAACTGCTAGATGTTTAAATCTAAAGAAAAGTTTACTAGAAAAAAATCCACGCGGACCAGGCAGCGGACGGGACTCGAACCCGCATCCTTCGCTATCCGGGCGAATGCACTGACCATTATGCTACCACGGCCCTATTCGCCGCGTCAAATTTTCCTAGCCTTAAGCTGCAAGGCAGCGCCATCTCCTCGCATTGTAGGTAACCCACAATGTCAAATGAATACTTTTTCAAGTATTAAACATTTGAAAGAAGAAATAGCAATTATAGTTATGATTTTATTTATTTTTTAAGCATTTAACTACTAGATGTTTAACTCTAAAGAAAAGTTTACTAGAAAAAACTGTTGCTGGCAATTTTGTAAGCTAAAAAGAGGACAGGTTTATAAATCTAATGTGGTCTACATAAGGTTTAACTTTAGTCCGCGATTTGGAATAAGGCGGTGTCTTTAAGTCTTAATTAAACAAGTTACAAAATAAGATATACATCATTATATTTTTGTATACCTACTATAAGTAAAGAATCTTATAAAATATACTCAAAGTATATCGTAAAGTGCATTAAAGAGCTAAAAAAATATAAAACAATATTGACTTATAACTAAGTTGTATAACAACATCTAAGTGAGCGAATTGATAATTTTATCGTACGACCGCAACTTATGTACACCAATCGTAATTTTCGACACAATTTGGCACCGTTTAGGTACATTGGACTTTGTTTCAATTGTACAAACACTAGAAAATAAGTTAGTACTTAAAGTAAGAAGCAGCTAATACAAATATGATTTCCTGGATTCGATTTTGTAAACTCGTGGACGATTTAAGTTAATTCTTTTTTTCTTTCTTAACCGCAAAAAGTACACATTTTTTCTCGTAGAAAGTATGTATTCGATTAATTGTTTACGTTAAACAATATACAGTGAAACCTGGTTAACTGGGACCTGGATAAGTGAGAAACCTCCATTATTGAGAGTTACAATGAGGTCCCGGTTCTTTTACATTAAATTACCTCTGTTAATGGGACTTTTTGAACCTGGTTAAATGAGATTTGAATTCTAAGGCTCTTTCGATGTTTACCTCTATAATTGAGACTGTAGCTCAATTACCTGTATAAGTGAGACTAATTAATCAGGTAGTAACACGTTATGACATGTTTGTTTACATACATTTCGCGTCGTCTTTCGCGAATGCTCTGTTTGTCAGTACTCTAAAAATGGAATAACGGCACATTTCGTAAATGAGACGACTATAATTTTAAACCTGTTTAATTGGAAAACTGGATTATTGGATACCCTCAATAATTGGTACATATGTCTTGGTCCCTTGAGATCCCAATTAACCAGGTTTCACTGCATTTCGATTAATATCTATCCTCAAAAATGTCACTTAACCCTTAGAAGATTTTTACGTTAATGAGCTTTCTGAAAATTCTAATAATGGAAAGTAGCTAAGTTATATTCATGAGTTGGATAAAATCGAGTCCAAGAAGTATGAGTTTTCTTATCAGCTAATAAAAAATAAATCATTCGAGAATAACATGATAATGAATTAGCTAAGTTATTTAAGTTTACATGTAGCTAGGTATATCAGAATCTAACCATATAAATAAGACTTAGATGTAGCTTATAACACAGATATTTGACGATTAAACACAAGTTTACAATTCCTTGTTAGTAATGTGCCCGATAGAAAGTTAAGCTCTTTCACCATGATTCAGAAAATCTTTCTTTCTTATGAAAATATAACTAGAAAAAAATCCACGCGGACCAGGCAGCAGGCGGAACTCGAACCCGCACCCTTCGCAATCCGGGCGAATGCACTGACCAATTATGCTACCGCTTCCCTGACGGCCGCGTCGAAATTCTTCTAGCCATTCTTAAGCTGCAAGGCAGCGCCATTTCTTCGCATTGTAGGTAACCCACAATGTCAAATGAATACTTTTACAAGTATTAAACATTTGAGAGAAGAAATGTTCTTTAGATTTAAACATTAAGCAGTGACATGCTTAAAAAATTAAAATTATAACTTTCTTTCTATTTAATGGGTCAGGGCCATAGCCAGAGTTGTATTTAAGATAGGGCAGAAGGGCATAAGCAGGGGGTGCCACCATTCTTAGGCTCGTATTACAGAATGATAATTAAATGTTGATCTTCACTTGAGTACAGTTAGAAAGGGATATCGCTATGTGCTATATATAGCGACATCCCTTTCTAACTATGCTCAAGACTAGATCAATTAATGAGAATCTTTCTATAATACAGGCCTTAGTTCGCCGCCACGTTTTAAGGTAGGGCAATGGTATTTTAAAGAAAGGCACAGAGGCGGCGTAAGGCGTGGGCGACGTGGGCCACCGCCTACGGCCTCTCGGTACGAGGGGCCTCGCGCCTCAAGAATTTTTATGCATTGCTTAAAAGCGAATTTCTTTTTTTTATTATTTTATAAAATCCGTCTTCAAGTCGCCACAGAACAGGGCCTCGCGAAATCTGTCTTGCCCACATCAAATTTAGGTCTTGCCCCGCCACTGGTAAGGCATTGCCCCATATTGCTCTCCCTAGCTACGGCCCTGAATGGGTTACTAAAATAGGTAAAAACTGAAGTAACCAAATTGCAAGCAAATAATTATCAGTTATTTATTAGATGTACAGCGAGCAAATTAAATTAAGATTTGGTAAATTGGGATTTTGCTGAACCATAGTGCGACGCTTTGCTCGTGATTGTTAATATAATTCAGCATTGTAATAGTAAATAAGTGAAAAATTCTTAGAGATATAAGAATAAAGTGGGGAAGGCGGCTCTAAAAGTGTCCGTCTAGTAGAAAGAGAAAGAAGATGAGAGACGGCTAGCCTTTCTCTCTCTAATCGCGAATGCGCATTGGATGAAAAACCTATGGATGAATACCGACCAATAACACGACTGCGCAGCAATACCGACGAATCACACGACTGCGCAGCGTCACAAGAGAGAGAGATAGCTAGCCATCTCTCATCTTCTTTCTCTTTCTACTAGACTGACACTTCCACTTGTAGTAGAGTACATATCTCCCCTACTCTATTCTTATACCTCTATGGAAAAAATA